CGGGTCATCACGTCAAGGGCATCGTTGGGGTGGCCCGGGGTGGATATGTACAACTGAGTATCATCAGCATACTGATGGAAATCCACCCCAAAGCCACGAATGATCTCCCCCAGCGGCTTCACATAAATATTGAACAGAAGCGGAGAGAGGACCGACCCCTGTGGGACCCCACAAGTTAGGGGCCTTGGGGTCGACCTCTGTCCCCCTGCCAATACAGACTGCGTAGATAGCCTCACTTAACAACCTCCACCCTCTGCTCTCCCTTATGTAGCCAATAAACAAACATGGGAAATGGTTAAACAGAACACAAGGTGCCTCAGGTGTGGTGGTGGCCTAGCCTAGGCTTTGGTCCATCTGCCCTGGGCCTCCTCCACCCCCTGAGGCACTCCATGCTCTGCTTCCTGCTCCTCAGGTCCCTGCATGCTTGGCCTGCTTCCCACTCAGCCTCCCAGGGAAGCCTAAAGCCAGGCAGCAGATGCTACTGATGCACGCAGAACTATGAGACCTTGTGACTGAAGCCTTCTTCCCAATCAGCCACCCAGTGACAGGACTCAGCCAGCCTCTCACTCAACTCCAGAGCCAGGCGGCACCCAACTTACCATTCTATTTTTTGCAGAGTAGCCCAGCTGATGTGATGCATGCTTCAGCTTTCCTACAGAGGCTGTCTTCCTCGTGGCAACCTCGTGCTGTTCTGAAAGCAGATACTATTGTTGCAAGCTTGTAGGGGACTCTTTTTTTTAAGGATGTTCCACAAACTGCACTAACAAATGTCCAGCTTCAGGCTTCCTTGATTGGCTGAGTGGATAGCTAAGGCTACAAGCTGTCACAGCCCCATAAGCACTTGGAGTGTCTGCTACCCGGCTTTAGGCTCCCTTGGGTGACTGAGTAGCAGGATGGGAAGCAGGCCTTGGCCTGCAAGGACATGGAGGGATGAATAGGGAAGATAGGTAGGAGGACTTGCTGCTGTGGCCCTACAGTCAGTTGTAAGGGTGAACAACTGCCAAGGAGTGCAGTAACCATAATGTTGAAACTCTGTTGTACTTGTGGCTTTTGAGGGGTCTGTCATAACTTCAAATGGTTGCTAAGCAAGTAGCTGTAAGTCGAGGAGTACCTATACATGCATACATGCACCCATACATAGACAAATATGGTTATATTTGTTTTACAATAAAGGATTATTAAAATTAGCACAACTGAAGCAACTCTTTATACTTTCATACTGTTCATGCTGATAATTTTGTCCCTTCCTATGGTGTATCAATTTTGGCCCCTAGTGTGGAGAAAAAAGCGGCCTATCTATAAAGGATGATGTAATAATGATAAATCGATTCAATAAATTGAGCATTACAGTACTGTCTAATTGTATACAAACTAATATGTGTGCTATTTAGCAATCTCTCCTCTTTAAATGAAAATATTACCTAACCCATAATCCCACATGGATTGAGGTGACCAATACTATTACCTTTAGTTAAAAATGAAGAAATTCCCATCCTCAAGCAAATAATCTTTATATTATTACTTTATATAAGTTCCTAGGCGCTAAAAGTAAATTCTGAGCTCTGATTTGAGCTTGGACCAGAGCCTTAATATAATCTCTTGTGATTCTGGACACTAACATTTATGATGCAATATGTAGTGATACTAAACTGGCTGAACAAATAATATAATAGAGCAGTGGTTCTCAATCTTTTCTTCACCTTTAAATACTTTGTGGCCACAGTCCATGGCGATGGACCCCCAAGACTTAACTCAAGATTTAAATCATAACATTTCTTCAAGCCTTCCTGGACACAACATCACGGCTCCCCCAGGGGTTCACAGACCACAGGTTGAGAACCACTGTGATAGAGAATTGCCTGGGTTAAACTTCTAAACACTTCAATATAGTTCTTCTATAATTCACTGAATAAACCAAGATCTAAAGTTGACTTCAAAAGCTGACTCTTTTTCTTGTTAATTTCATACATGACAAATATAGAAGCTTTCATGCAATTTGTAATCAAGAGGGCCAATTTACTAATAATGAACTTGAAAATTAAAATGTCAGACAAAATAATGTAATATATGGTAACTTGTTAGGTTGTTCATGAAGATTATTTTAATATTGTTCTAATAGCTTAATTATAAAATATGATTTTTCTATTTAAAGTAGGTTTAGAAAGAGGGGAAAAACAACTCTGATTTATTACATGTTTGAGTGCTACCATCTTATTTGGTGACATTTGTGCTGGCAGAACAATTTAACAATTTGAATGTTTTCACATTTGTATTATGAATATACCACGTAACAACAAAAAAATACACTGTTCAAGTTCTATTAGTTCTCCTGCTAAGCAATTAAATAGGAAAAAATGAATTTTGAAACAGATTAACATGCATCTCTCAGTTTAACCTGTACTTTAACATACAAAGAGAACATTGAAAAAAAATATCTGTATATGTTTTCTGAACTAAGATTTAAATGTCCATCCTATCAGGTACTATATGTAATAAATAAGATAAATGATGCTACCATATCCTCCAGTTCAGGCAGCAAAATCTCTTGGATCAGTATTGAGGAACAACAAGTATGATCAGTAGGCATTAAATCAGGGGTGTCCAACCTTGGCAACTTTAAGACTTGTGGACTTCAACTCCCAGAATTCCCCAGCCAGTACGCTAATCAACAGGGAAGAGAGGCAGCAGGCCATGTGGAGATTATTAGTATAGCACCTTCATGGAAGAAATTCCACAAGGTCAATAATCCCAAAATAGGAAATAAAAATATGCTGATTGTGGAAGTTATTGATCTGTTGTAAGCACTACAATTTAGCTCCTCCCACAGTTCCTCTAGTCACCTTACTGGAACACTATGGTGTTCTGGCATTATTTTTTTCATTTGACAGATTATGGATCTGATTTTATTCAGGTTTTTTTAAAATGTGTTTGTTTCTTAGCATTTATGCCATTCTGACACCATTTATTTATTTACTTATTTGACAGATTTATATCATGTCTAGCAGCTCAAGGCAGCTCATGAGAAAGGCTGGGCTGAGAAAGAGCATCACTGGCCTAAAGTCAACCAATGAATTTCATGGTTGTGGAGAGGATTGAATTTGGTCTCTACAGTCCCAGTCCAATCCCTTCTACATCAATACTTTTGCCCTCTGAAAGGACTTTAAGTTTAGTTCTAGCAGTAGTCAGAAAAAAAAGCTACACTGGATGCATTCCCCAAAATAACTTTGTATTGCATACATGCACACATTTATATCATTGCAGAAATAATACAAGTATTAAATTCAAAAATGGAGCTATTTGAAGCATACCTACACAAGCCATACCTTTTTTAAAACAAAAATAGACATTTAAGTGAACTTGTTCTTCTTTGGAGTAATCTTTCAAGAATTTACTACTACAATTTAGAAGTAATAAACTATTCATTTATTAGTAAAAACAAAGGAGAATGAAACTTTTCTTGTTGACAAATCAGAGTTCAGATTTTGGTTTTTGACAAATAATAAAGGCAGGACAAAAAAATCTTTAAAAAATGATGATAACTTTTGTTTTCAAAAAACCTTCTGAAAAGTCTAATGAGAGAAATATTATAAATGAAGGATGTGGTGGTGGACCATGAAGGGTGACATTTTATAATTGGTGCTTTTCCAGGAAGCTAGTTATTTTAGTCTACTACTCAGAATAATAAGGAATCTTACAGGCTCTGGCTTACAAAATCTTATGATCTAAAATGTTTATTCTATAAGATATCAGAATATTATTTAAAATAGTGAGAAGGAAACATCTCATTTTGAGAAATTTCAAAAACCACAGCAAAGAAAAACTTCTAGTTCTCGTTTCAACAGAGGAGAAATATATATTACATATTATTTCAAATTCTAAGGATGCTGTTGAGTGCAAATTCCTTGACCACTGCATAAAAATAATGACTGGGATCTTATCAAAAATCAACTAGGTTTTCTTATCAAAGACTAGATCAAAAGATTTAGTGCCATCACTCTTCCAGCTTATTCAAGAAACCCAGTCTTAAAACAAACCAATGTTATACAACATAGAGTATTTAGGTCTCTATTTGTTCAAATGATGGTGTCCTGTTCTTGCTAGTCACGTGGCAACATGTTCCTAAGATGCTGCATTTGTCAAAGAATAACTGTTTCCCTTGAGCCAAATTATGACATCAGTGACACTTGCCAGAAAATTATAGCATAGATCAAATGTGGCAGTCAGAGCTGATGGTTTGTAGCTGTCTGGCAATCCCACCTAATGTTGTAGATCTCATAGAAGGAGATTAATTTCTTTCCCCTCCGTTGAAATGATTCAAAAATAGCCATGTCATCAAACCCAAATAAAAAATGAGTGACAGAAGAAAAAGATATTTGAAGCTCACCCAAGCCACTTTGAGTTTTTAGAAAGAGAAGACCCTAAAGGTAAAACTAACACATTTAAAAACTATTTCCAAAAGGCCAGATGAAAGAAGAAGGTTCTCTATGATTAAAGTAAGCATTTAATTTTTAAATAATATATTATTAATTATTGTTATTATTATTATTATTATTATTATTATTATTACAGTAAATTGCAATGCTTAGCATTGTAACTGACATCTTGTTAAACTTATACAATTAATAACACAATCTAGGACATATTGTTTTACACATTTCTGGATTTTTATTGGCATATTGGTTTGCTTAAGATACTTCGATGTTTGAAATACTTGGATATATTGTTACTAAACACTGAATTAAACTTTGTCATCCCATGCTTGATGTCTCCATAGGATATGTTTACTAAAATGACAGCTTCAGCATACTAATAAGAATATGGAATTTATTTGTTCAGCTTAATGAAATCATTATAAATAAATAACTCAATGTTGCCATATAATTGCTTCATTCTAAGTCTGCATCTAATATAGAAACAAGATCCATTAATTGTAGTATTCATATGTCTGATTAAGTCTGTAGTGAATTGCCCATAAATGAGCTAAAATTCATTTGAGATGCAATTTCATAACCACAGACTCCTCACTTTCCTATATTGACATATTGTGTGAGGTAAAAATAAAGATGAATGAAATGATGAGGAAATTAATTCTACTTTTTTGCAAAATACCTGCTTCATCTGGAAACACTGAGATTCTGTTGAAGATAGAATATTAGTCCTAATAAAAGTATACCAATTTCATAATGCTCTACATATTTATTCAGTAGCAAACTTTATTAACTAAATGGGACTTAAGCTAAGGGAAATTGAGCTGTGAGTTGCAGTTATGAACATTTAGTAAGGAGTAAATGTACTGAATTCAGTAAGGCTTACTTCTGAGTAGAATCTTACAAGATCACAATAAAAAATCTTGCCTTTAAAAATGCATATAAAATATATAATATATAAAACATTAACCCCCCAAATTATCTAGCTCAAATATGTTTGCTCTCCATTTTAGGGAAGTGGAAAGAAACTTAGTGAAGGAAATTTAATCAGAAAATTCAGCTTAGACAAGTTTTTCCCATTCATCAGTGTTTAATAACTACCATATTAGGGCTTGTTTCATTTACACACTGTGGGTTTATACATAAAACAAATTAATATTCTTAAATATGACATGCAGATATAGTTTAAGATATTTACTTTATTTCCACTTATTGGTTCTAATTAATTTAGAATGACTGAATGGGGGGAAAAAACAGCCATTCATTGTACGAATGGCTCACCTTTCTGAAATTAAACCAGTTGCTTGGTATTGACAAAATAAGAGCATGAACCAAAGATATTATGCAAATATTTTGGTTAAAAAGTGCCATACTTAAGTTCCTTTAAGCATTTTCCATGGGGAATGGAATATTAACTGGAACTTTAAATGAAATTATTTCTTTCCTTCTTTTCTGTTAAGTTTCTGGATTTATTTTATTATTTTGAACAATCATCAAAAATGGAAGTAACATAAACAAGAACTATATGAAGAGAAAGAAACATATATCTCCAAATGCCACAAATGCTTGTGCAGAAAACTGATGCCATTGGAGTCTGTGAACTAGATATTTTCCAAAGTGCAAAATGCCCCATTTTTTGTTCAGCTATAAGGTTCTCCCATCTTTTTTCTTTTCAAACAAAATGTTTTTTGGGAAAGAAAAGACAGAGATATTGAGCAACTCTTCAGCTGGTGGTATACAACTAAAAGCCCTCAATCTGGAAACATCTTGCAGATCAAGTGATACCAGATGGCTAGTGTTGGCAGATGTGCAAGACACAAGGGGGAGATATTGACATGTGTGAATAAAGCTCTAGTTTTACAGAAGTGCTGATGTCTGCACATGCTTAATTGACTAGGATGGTTGACTGTCATTGGGGAAAGAAAAACACAAAACTGGGAAGATTGAAAACAGAATATATTATCCCAGAGAAAAGCACAGGAGCACTCTTGTTAGGATGTAAAACTATTTACATGAATTTGCAACCTATAGTTACAGCACAATAGTATCTACTTGCAATTCAAATAATTCCTGAAATATTCAGATCAGAAATTAAAGAAAAAAAAATAATTGCATTATTATTATTATTATTATTATTATTATTATTATTATTATTATTATTATTATTATTATTATTAATGGCTAACAGAGAATTCACCTTGGATGACGTTCTACTGAATCCAGTTTAGAACAATCTATAAACTTTAAAGAAACTACCTTTATTTATTCATTATTCTGTTTATGACTGCTGCAATAATGTTATTCTTCGTGAATGTAATCTGTTGTGCTCGTGAATATCAAAGAGACACAATCAGAAATAAAATAACACAATATTTTATGGACAAAATAACAAGTTGTCATGAACAAGTTACTAATCTTTTGGGGCACTTTGATAATTATGTGAGAAACTCGAGGATCATTATCTTCCTTCCCCGAAAACACCCAGAAACAATAAGAATGTACAGTCCTAGGTGCAAGAAGGAGAACCAGTAGATGCAGTCCACACTATCAGTTAAACTGATATTAGAATATGTTTAGCATGTTGAGATATTCAGCACTATCTGGTAGTGGAGCCCACCTTCTATTTGTTCCACAGTATAACTCACTGTAGTTGTAGAACAGTGGTTCTCAACCTGTGGGTCGGGACCCCATTTGGGGTCGATCGACCATTTCATGGGGGTCGCCAAGCAAGGCTGTCTGCCATTTTTTTTGTCCGCCATTTTTTTTTGTCTGCCATTTTTTTGTCTGCCATTTTTTTGTCCGCCATTTTTTTCCCCTTTTCCGGCGGGTGCCTTATCTCCCTTGGGCTGGGCCAGCTGGTGGTCGGCCTGCTCCGTCTCTGCTGCTTGCCAGCTACGCCTTGGCCGGCGCAGGGAGCGGAACCACGCATGCATGGCGCTCCCGGGCAGGGAAAGTCCTCGACTTACGACCGGTTGGGTAGTCCTCGACTTACGACCGGTTTAGTCCTCGACTTACGACCAGTTGGGGTCGCGGCATTAAAAAGGTTGAGAACCACTGCTGTAGAACAATATATAGGTTACTTTCTCTGCAAACAAAACTAAGGTGTGAGCTGAAGCACAACATCCTTTGTCAAACCAACTCAGAAAACTCTAGCTTAAATATTATAACTCATCTAAGTAGAATCTAATGTAGGAAGTTATTTTCACCAAAAGCTTTTATGTAAGCCATTTTATAATGGAGGAAAGGGAAAGACTTGTTATTTTCTTGGAACATGGATTATTATTTTAGCAGTCAGAAAGGTGCTGTCTCTTTTGTACTTTTGATTTGCTTTTCAGAACATGGACATCTTCACTGGCTCCAACCACCATCCCATAGTAATCTGTGATGCTCATGGCTTGAAGAAATTTTGGGAAAAAATAATTGAAACATATACCAAACAAAAAGAAGATGAAGATTCTCGATTGCACCAAAGTGCTTTAAATAAGTGAGTGGTTTTATTTGCATTAAATTCAATCTGCTTAGCAAAGCTGTATTATAGGTTTCAAACTGGGTAGATCTAATATTTTTTATTTAGTCTATGTTCAGCTAAGCAACTCGCTTCAGAAACAGACTACGCTGGCCAAGAAAGGCAGAATTTCTTTCTGGAGGGACCTGGACAAATATATCTTTGGGATGCTTTACATAAATGATATGCTAGCCTAAAGGCCAACAATAGAATTGCTGATATACCGTCTGTTCCCCAAAGCAATCACTTCTTGATTCATTTATCCATACTGATGATCCTTTGCATATTTCTGCAAGGCACCATCATTTATCCTATGACATTTAGGTCATCTGGAAGGTGGCAACGTTAAAATAACGTTGTCCTATTGTAAATGTGTACCTCTATTTCATGTGCAGATTTCCAAGGCAAGTTTATCTAAATAAAATCATATAAATGGCATTAAATATTAATGTATTTGAGGGCCCCTCCACAAATACCTTCCAAGCAGATTTGTGGCAACTAGTCAAGAATTGCTTTTATTTTCACAGACCTGATGACTTGAGACACAGAATAGAAATGCCAAATATATTGCCAATCCAATCAGCTAAAATGGGGATACAGACTACATTTAGAATAAGGTCTGCTAAGTTAAATGGAGCCAGCTCCCAAAGATATATGCATAAGTTTACTTTTTGCTACTGTAATATAATTATGCATACCTCAGGTCTGCAACACTTAGGGCAGTTCCAGAGCACTGCTTTCTACTACTCTGGTAACTGTTCCACATCTGACTGACCTCATGCTGTTGTCTGCACTTAGGAAGCAAGTTTATTTTGGACTCTGCTATTTATTACAAACAGCAGCAAAGCTGCTATTTTCCTTGGAATATAACACTAAGACATGATAGAGCTCATGTGCAAATTGTTTTGCTGTTGGCAGGAACTCTTGGCTCACTTCAGTTCCTAGTTCCTGGAATCAGTCCAAGCATCATCCTCTCTGTCCCCAGAGATTCACTGTGCTATTCCTGGAGCTTTTCTCTTCTTGTATGTTTAAAACCATCTCCATTCTCCTCCAATTGAGCCACAACTGCAATACATATCTAGGATCACAACTATGGGGAAATGACTGGTTACAAAATCACTAACACGCTCGCATTTTACTGTCACAAATCACCAACGTTTGTTTTTTTTTAGTGCTACAGCTTGGAAACCATTGGAAGATTCTACACATTTTTTAAAAAAATCTATTTTCTCCTCAGTATTTTGCCGGTTAATAATTTTTTTGGGTTTATTGGGTTCAGAAAGATGACACGTCTTAACCAACAGGACCCACAGAGATTATCAGACTGAATGAGAAATTTACTCATTCATAGTAGCTGCTTCTCTGATGGAAGTTTTATTCTCAGTTTCTTTTAGCAGCCTTTCACCAAACATGTCTTCTCCATTTTTATAACCATTTTTTTTATCTGAGAAATATAGTTTGATTTCTTTCACCCACAAAGGAGAGCATTTTGCTGAACCTCTCCTACAATCTCTTCCAGTTGCCTTAGCTATATGGTGACTAAGAAATATCTGAGAATATATCTGTCTTTTATTCATCCCTCCTTAGTTTCTCTTTTTCAATTAATCCCAAACCGAAGACATTGTGAAAAAATCCCTCATCCTGAGCTTTTTCAAAATAGCAAATATGGGCAGTTAGGGAACTTCTAGAGGAGGGAAGATGTGTGATATTGAAAAAAACAGCCATGCCTGTTATTTCACAATAAAGTAAGCTTATAACCATCATCAAAATAAAACTGAAAACATGTTACTATGACACAAAAACAGCAGAAGCCTCTTTTACTGAGGAAGAAAACTGTTGGAAACTAGAAGCCAGATTATTAACTTTTATGGGCTTCCAGGCTCATAATAAAAGACAAAGATGTAACTAGAATGTTATAAGGCTCAAGAAAGAATTCACTGGTTACACTGGAGAGTAAGAATAAACAAGGCCATCGTTGTTGTTGTTGTTGTTTTAAAAAAAATTACATCCCCATCCAAAATTGCAGTAGCAGCTAAATAATGCCCGTTAGTTTCCTACACCAATTTTTGGCAAGCTCTTAAAAGTATACTTTGAACTGGGGAGATGAGACTCTGCCTTCTCTTCCCTTTTATCCATAGTTGATACTAATGAATGAACAACCAACAGTCTAAATGAAAGTATATCTCTTAGTGTCTCCTGGGATTGTATAGTTAATAAAGAATATTTGAGAAGGGAGAATGCAAGAGTGTGGTTTGAATTTAAAAACTGCTAACTGATTAGAATGGTATTTGAGAATACATTTGCTACAGGCTAGATCAAAGGCCATACTATGTATACTCAGACATTAAATGAATCAATCAGAGAACAAATAGTTATACTGAGCAATTATTATATCCCTCTGCAGAAGTTCACCCAACACATTTAAGGGTTAGAAGTAGATTGGGGTCTCTGCATACAAAGCCTCTGAAGACTTTTGCATATAGTGCATAAGAGACTGAAGTGGGCTTAATGTGGCTGTGCGCTAACTTAACTCCCAGATTCAAGGCAGTTTGTATGTTCAGCCAAAGACACTGATAATCTCTCTGCAGAACTTTATGTTAAATTCACAGAGACCTACTAAAACTGTGCAGCAGGGACACACAACCTTTTCAATCTGGTAAGCACGATTGGAACTAAGAGAAATATCATGAATTCCCTCACAAAAAGCTGCCAAGGGAGTCTTTTTCTTCACAAAACAGCTGTCATGTTGGGTATGGGCAATCATAAAACACTGAAAGTACCAGAAAGTGAAATGATGAGGCTATTGTCTGTTATTTCCTATAATTTAACAGCATGTTCTCTTCAACTTCTTTTCATGTGGGTGTTTTTCCTAAGAAACCAATCATACTTTCAAACAAACCACCAAGCTGCAATCAGGGATATGCAAAATTCACATCCCTCAAAATTCTGGGCCCAGTTCAGTTGTTTCCAGAAGTAAATCCCCTGAATCAGAAGCAATTCAAGCTCTTCTAGACATGATGTTCCAGATAAAACAGGCCATATCACCTAAGGACCGCTTGTACCCATTTAATTTGGAGGGTTTACTTCAGCCTGGTCTACAGGGAAACAGAACCTTCTATCTCCAAATCTGATTTTTTTAACATCCCTAGCTGTGAACCCATCCACCATTTTTTATTTCTAAAAATAGCTTTGGGTGTATGTAGAACCCAGAAACATTCTTGTAAATGCATTTGATGTTAGATTGTGGTGCTTTGCTTTGAAATATGTCGGTCTCCTGTTGCTGTTTTGGGTTGGTTATTTGTTTTAGTTAAAAGCAGATCTTGTTTTTAGCCAGGTAGAGTATCAAGCCTGCTTAGTGACAAAGCAAGTGCTTATCATACTGCTTACCTCTATCTTTCAACAAGAAGGACAATAGTAACAGAGGTTTTTGTGTACTCTCCTCTCAATATAATTTTAATTCAGGGTATGCAACAGGAGAATGGTTGCAATGGGCTCCTGTGATGTCTTATCCTAGGCCTAAAATATTGTTTATTTTATGTCCAGAGTTCAGGCAAAAAACTAATCTGACAAGAATAGCTTCACTCTTATTCTTATATACCACAGTAATTTTTTAGCTATGGTTTCTTTTCTCATCACAATTTCAAACATATAAATATTCATTACTATTGAAAAAAATATTGGATACCTTGCCAAATGGCATGTTTTACCACAATAGAGTACCAATCTATTCCTACACACACTGAAGATCTCAGATGCACAGCCAAGATTCCAGGGATTAGGTGGATAGACGTTCTGATCTCCCCATCCCATCACGTGGAATACTTACATCTAGATTGGTCCACTCCTGCACACATTGGGAAGAAGTGGTTAAGGGCCAATTCCAAAAATATGAGGGTTTATAGTGAGGAGGAATATTTTCCCTTTCACTAAGACTTTTTCTATGCACACATTACATTAATAGCCCAAAGAGGTAAATGGGAACATGCCATATAAATACTTTGATTAAAAAATAACACCTTCTTGATTCAATAAATGCATTCAATTTTTATTACTTTCTTTTTGTTATTGTTGTTGTTGTTCTGCTGATGGAGTGCTATAAACAGAGTTTGCTTCCACAAGTTTCCTTGATGTCATTTCCAATACATGTACTACATTATTTTTCCTATGAGATAACCCTGAGCTGATGCTTCATCCAGAGAATACCCAAAGGAGAAAGAGCATGTATCTCTAATGACAGCATTTTCCCAGTTCTTTGACTCCTCTGGAATCTAGCAATGTCACCAAGCTTCATTCCGATGATGAGTGATACTATTAGTATTCTCTGTCTATCCCAAGTCAGAAGGCCATAGAGATACCTATGCTAAATTAACACATGACAAGTGCAATGGTGATGAAAGAAAAGGGACATCAATAGCATTACACAAAAGAACTAGACTTCAAAAGCATTTAGCTAAAGATTCATGGTATGTTCTTTCTTCCCAGGCTCCGACATGAATGGACTCTAAGGCTGGAAAATCAAATTAAGATACTTCAGAAGAACAGTGAAAATGGCAAAGTGCAGGATAACCTATCTCCAGTTGAAAATTTTAGCCAAAACGGCTGACCAGACTTGATTTTGATCCTTGATGTTTCATTATGAATGTGAACAGATATTCAACTGATACCTGAGTTATAAACGAGCTATTAAAAGACACACATGGTTACTTTTGGAAAACTGTTTATCAAGCAGCAGCAAAAAGAAGGAAAAAAAGAAAACACTAATTCTTAGTTGAATATTGATCATTTATATATATCATTAAGTTCTACCTGCAGTCTTAGCTACTTATATTTGATCCCTGATAGCACTGAATTCTTTAAATGGGGGAAAACTGCTCTATTATGTCAGTTATCAATGAATACAGTGGTTAACTTTGGCTAATATACTGTACTTACTTGGGTATCTGAAATGTTGTCAAATGCTTTGGAATTCTTGAGACTGAAACAACATTAGTTTAGGAAAACAAACAGTCTTCTCATAGGAATGCATTAAAACAATTTATTTTCCCCCTAAGTTAAATTCAATACTAGTTCACAAATATATGTCTGTGGGAAAAAATGTGTTGAAAGATGTATATGTTTTGCCCAACTGGAAATTAAAACACTAAGATACCCCATTCTATAAATGGACAATAAACGTGACTCTTTTTTATATTTTGGTTTGTCAGGATGGTATTACAGATGTAGTATTAATTTAAAAAAATATGTCATTTTCAGTGCAATCCTATCTATGACTACTGAACAAAATGAACAATGTTCTTGTTAGACTTCCTGCAGGCTCACATAAATTTGTAGAGGCTTGTAGCCTTACTAGCCTCTCTGCAGGTTGCACTAGTGATTCTCTCCTCCCCTCTGCTATTTTTGCCACTTTCTGATGGTTGCCAATGTGATATTGTAATCCAAAATTTAAAATGTCTCAGTTGCAAGAAAAACAGTAAAAAGCAAATTGCCTTTTTTCCCTATTTTGTCTTCCTGAATCCTTAATACTTTTCTCTCAAATGGCCCTCCACATCCAATCCTTGTTAAATAAGCAATTTGCCAAAACTTTTTAAATCTTCGAAATCCTCCTTTTTTCCCTTTTTTAATCCAGAAAACAATTAATCCGTGTTGACTCACCAAGTGGATTTCTCTTATCCTGCCACTCAGAAAATCTCTCTTTAGCTGTAAATTGATTACATTTGAAAGTGTTTAAGAAAGCCTTATGTGACCAATAGATGATAGTCTGACCATCCCCCCCTGAGTCATCTACTGTGGCATTGATGGTTGGGGAAGTGAGTCAGGTTGTATATGTAATCAAAGTTGTGCCAGAGAAGGGGAAAGCACTAATGTAGCACTAATACAGTTAGGACAACTTAGGAACTATGGTTCAGACAGAGACTACATCATTAGAACACAGCAGGAAAACAAAAAGATTGCTTGGGCATATTTGTGCTATAGGTAAGTATAAGTGAGAAAAGGCTCTTAGTATATGTTTAAACACATGTTGTGATGACCCTCTTGTCCAAATGCTCTAAAGCGAAGTGCGATGTATCTCAAGATCCATTCTGTGTGCAGACTACTGGACAAGTAAAATTCAGCCATTCCTCCAGAAAGCCGGAATCTCCAGTTCCACAGATCTGGTAAACATAGCAACAAAATGTTATTAAGTTAATGATACCAAAAAAAGGGAAAGAAAAAGAACCAGAGTTTCAGGCATATATTTGGATATTTTAAAAAAGAAGACAAAATGAAAGCAGGATTTAAAACACAGACACACACACACACAGGCTATTGTTGAAAGAAAAATCTTCATTAGGGTCCAGTCCAAGCTGGGAATAAACAAAATGGAGACTGCTTTAGAGAGAAGGTTGGAGCTTATTGAAGAGCAGAGCCAGAAAGAAGTATGACTCTGGGAAAGCTAACCACATGTTGCTGGGAGTGGTGGGTTTTTATATCTTCTGGGGCTTTTGAGGTTGTTTCCTATTCCTGTTTGAGGCTTTGTATTTCCTGTGTCATGTATTTTGACCTGACTCTGAGTGTGCCCTTTTGGTATTGGTGGATTAATCCTATTATGTTCCCAAAGGTCATGCCTTTTAGAGTTTGGGTGGAGTATGTAGATTTTAGAGGTCTTTGTCTTCATAATGTCATAGCTTCTAGTTTCCTGGCCCCAACCTTCCTGAATGGATTATTACATCTGCATTTCTAAAAGCTGATTTCTGCTGAGTTTTCTGGCTGGGGGGGGGAGGGAGACATTTCTGCCTTTTAAAGATCTTCTCCATTATTCCTTTGGAGAAATATATTCTGCCTTTTTAATATTTCACAAAATATTTCTTTCTCAGGATTCTTCCCACACTATGTAGAAAATAACATGTTTTGTTTAATGGTGGAACAGAAGACAATTAAAGTCAAGAATACCTATAAAAAGAAACAGGAAAATTGCAACTTGTCAAAGACAGCTATTGATTTATCAAAGCATTCAAGGAAAATTATACAGAACACCGTTTTCAGTCTAAAGTTTAACCAATCCAACTTACTTATGAAATATTACTTAATGGAATTTGTTTCCTCTTAGAAATGCACACTTGCAAAGAATTTATATTCATGTGTATTTGTGTATTTACACTATCGTTCTTAAGTAAAATATGAATAACATCAAGAGTTTTGCTTTACATTACTATAATGTAGAAATATACATTATCAGAAATATTGTGTGTGTGTGTGTGTGTGTGTGTAGCTTATCAGGTATTTAGGAACCAAGGACTTGGCAGCTCAAGGAAACAACAGCCAATAGTCAGCAGCAGATAAATATGATGCATAAAGTAGACCAAAGCACCCATTCCATTAGAGAGAAGTTTCCTAAGGATGGGCTCCAACACAAGTCTGAAAGCTCAGAAGAATAAACCTCAGGTCTGGTGACTGACTCAGATAGGATCCAGAAATAAACAAGTTAGCTGACATGACTAGGGATATGTCCAATACACTTAAACAGTAGGTGTACTATTTGTAGTGTTGCTCTGGAAGATACTGTATATTAGCTTCATATTCTCTCTCTCTCTCTCTCTCTCTCTCTCACACACACACACGCACACACACACACAGCTTTTTTTCTCATAGAACGCCCAGAACGGAGTTCCGGCACCTTTTTGGGATGGAACCTTGTAGGGTAGGCAAGGTGGGTTGTATGACATGTGTGAGTTCCGGCACCTTTTTTTTTTTAGAAAAAAAGCACTGCACACACACATTTATCTTTTGCCTTTGTTTTGGTTGTCCAGTACATAGGGGCCTTCCTTCATTTTAAGTAAGACAGATGAGGAAGTATCTAGTTCAAGTTAACTAGAGAGCACCACACACAAACATCATGCTAATAAATAATTTATTTGAGAATAAGCATCCCTAGTTAAAAAAAAGGGATAATGTTCCTCATAAAATGAACATCTATATTCATGCAAATTCCCCACCCTCAAGTATATGTCATTTGTAAAAGTATATGAAAAAGAACTAACAATATAGCAAATCATTATCAGCCTGAAAGGAAGGGCCGGGCACAATCTGATTTGCTAGGTATGGACACCAAGCCTACTGTATAGGCCAGAGGTTCTCAATCCCTGGGCCGTGGCCCACTACCGGGCCATGACCTATTCAGAACCGGGCCCCACAAGCAGGGAGCCAGAGTGCACACAGAGCATAACTTGGACAGGTCAAGCTGCACGTGCATGTGTGTGCATGCGTTTGCGTGCTTCCCACTGGTCACACAAGTCAAGCTGTGTGCATGCAAGCCAGCCCACCGCTCACATGGCTCGGTTCCCCTCCCCCCCCAGGCCATCAAGCCGCAAAGGTTGGGGGCCAACCTATAGGCTACTGCCAACATCACTTGTTGCTTTCTGGGCACTGTGGGGGTCTTGTGTTTTAGCTCTAGGGTGCAACTTTACTGCATTGCCACAGGAGATTGTCTATTATTATCAAACAGGAAAACATGCAACTTTACTTTTATTGTGTTCTCTCTTAAATAGTCCTCATCCCATTAATGTGGCCAGGGAAAAAAATTGTTTGGTATATTATCACCATCACAGTTATTTGTAAGTTAAGATTCCATATAATTTTTATTGACTGCAGCAGCAGATGTGTTTCCCAAATACTGCAGTTATGCCTTTGTCAAGGGAATCGAGTAAGTGATTCACACCCATGCATTTTCATTAAGACAATTAAATGGTATTTAGAAGAATGTGACTGATTCCATGCTGACTTTCAGCCCACTAGTTGGTAGCACAAATTGCTGTGATAGAAAGTTCACTCATGAGTTCCATAATTAAATGTATTTGTAAATGATATCATCAAGCCACCTCAGTGTTAAAAAATGATTATTGATTTGAAATAGTTGTACCTGCTTTGTATTCTTAGGATCACTGAGAACATTCATGCAGCATAAATAAATGCAGACTTCTGATTGCAAATAGATTTCAGAATCCCTTAAGAGTAATGGCTAGTCAAAATTTTCTCCTAGATTCTGGAGTTGGCTAACAGGTATAAAAATTATTTATGCTGTAAACAGACTATTTTTAAGAACAGTCTAGACTATCATGAACATTGTTTATTCTTGCAAGTACATAAAATACATTTCATTATCAATCAAGTTCTTGATAACACTTATTACAGTTGCATGTCTGTAAAGACCTAAATAGTACTCATTTCTAATAAAAAGGCAACTCTAAAGATTTTGAATGCATGTATATTTTGCACTCTTTTCCTCCCTCTCTTAAGATATATATATATAACGGGGTATGTAAATTTGGTGGATTCAATAAGAACATCTGCATCAATTTGGAAAACCATTTCATTTTTAATGACTGGTCTATTTGAACCATTTCTAAAAACTGGACATGATTTGATTTAGTGTATTTAAATTCACATCTAAGTGTCTAAATCAGTCCAAATCGATCAGTCAGTTTGATCTACCAAATCAATTTGATGCTGCAAATCAATCTGACTTCAATATTTAATTAAATAATGAATGCTTGCAGAGTTAGTAAAGAGCAAACAGTACCTACACTTTGTCATAATTACATTGTTTATAGTGAAGCTTTAGGATGCTTTAAAGATAGAACCTTTGTGAGAGCTGAAGCTGGCAAGGCCAGAAGCAATAAGCCTGGGACCAGAGGAGATTCATCAAAATCCAGGGTAGATGCGCCCTCCAGTTTCAAGGCCAGGAAACAAGAAGCAACATCCATCATCACATAAGAGTGGGAGAAAGAGAACCAAGATTTAAACTGTGATGAGTTATAAATAGAGAGCTTGATAGATTGCTTCCACAGCCAATCTTCCTCATTATTAGGGCTTTTTGAAAACAGTATAAAAGCAACTTACCTATCCGACATTCGTCCTTGACAGTGATGGTATGTGGGAATGGATGACAGGAGGAAGACCCACAGACTAGACAATGGTCTAATACAGTGGTTCTCAAACTTTTTAATGCCGCGACCCCCGACCGGTCGTAAGTCGAGGACTAAACCGGTCGTAAGTCGAGGACTAAACCGGTCGTAAGTCGAGGACTAAACCGGTCGTAAGTCGAGGACTACCCAACCGGTTGTAAGTCAAGGACTTTCCCTGCCCGGGAGCGCTGCGTATGCGTGGTTCCGCCCCCTGTGCCGGCCGAG